TTCTTTGCAAACCCATATTAATCATTACTAGTTGTTTCCAAAATGGAAAAGTATTGGACTGTTGGAATACTGTGTTTCTAACTTAAAACTGTGGAGGAAAATCATGAGGGAAAAGTCTCATAGCAAACGAGAGAGAGGGGAGAGGTAAAGGAGGGATTAAGGATAGAATCGAGGGGCTGGGTTTGTGGCTCAGTGGTAGAGCACTCATCTGGCATGCATGAGGCACTGGGTTTGATCCTCAGCACCACATAAAAATAAAATAAAGGTATTGTGTCCACCTACAACTAAAAAATATATATTGGAAAAAAAAAAAGAGAATCAACATAGCACTCTAACTTCACTGAAGTGATGATTTACCAAACAGATTAAATATTTTGTAAGCCTAATCTCTCAAAGAAAAAAGGTGTTTTTAGTTATCTGCATCACAATAGCCAGGCAAGGTGGTGCACACCTGTAATCCTGGCAACTCCACAGTAGCCTATGTAGATAGTTTTTCAACTTGATTGGTAGTGGGAAAGTAAGAATTATAAAGCAATAATCATGGTCATCTGATTTTTATCACAGAATCAATATTTGGAGTCAAAGCACATACTTTTTTTGTCAAGCATTCTAGCTCTCAGAACACAAATGTCTACTGGAAATGGGGAATGGGTAGTGGTCATAACTTGATAATTATTTCCAAGGAGTAAATTTGAGTGATGCTCAGTTGAGAGAGGAAATAGCCTGCAAAACATTTAGTCTAACTAGAAAAACCTAATACTGGGAATAGGTTTTCCTTAACCTGATTACATAAAAAGGGAAAAATATAAGCAAAATGAGATAAATGAATATGATGGATTTATATACAATGTGCTTGAATGAAATAAAAGAGTGAAATTTTAGACACCTTTCTGTGTTATTTTATTTAGAGACAACCCTGCTGAGTTACTTAGAGAATGGCTAAATTACTGAGACTGGCTTTGAACCCGTTATCTTCCTGCCTGCCTCAGCCTCCCGAGCCATTGGGTTTACAGGCATGCACCTCTGTGTCCAGCTTTGTAAGAGTTTCGTTATAGAACTAATCCCAATAACCCAGAAATTTATGTAAAGTCATATGGAGAATAGTAATAATTATTAATAAATAGCCTCCTTAAAAAGGCAGGTCTTGCCTGCCTTTCTCAAAAGCTTTAGCAGTAATCCTAACAGTTTGTTACTTTAATTTACATATGAGAAAAACCCAGTGTGCATATTCATAGGGAAGCCTGCCTTTTGGTTTCTGTAATACTATTGGGTCAGATCTTACGATTGAGTAACCTTTTGAACCATCAAAATAGTCAAGTGCTTCAGTCTGGTTAGTCTTTGGACTTTGTGGTTAACAAGCCACAAATTTGATAAGCTTTAAATATAATTTAAAAATCTGAATGGAAGGTCAAGAAATAAGATGCAAAAATGGCTTTTGTCCCCCTACCAATTTTCTTGGTCTCTTCCTGGGAGTACTGTCATGCTTAAAACTTTTGGAACCTTTTTTCCTGAGCGAAATAGAAGGGTTTAGGGTGTAAATGTGGGAAAGGTTCAAAGTCAAGACTTTAAGCCAGGCATGGTAGCACATGCCTGTAATTCCAGTGGCTATGGAGGCTGAGGCAGGAGGATTGCAAGTTCAAGGCCAACCTCAGCAACTTACCAAGACTGTCTCAAAATTTAAAAAGGGATGGAGATATAGTTCAGTGATAGAGCCCTTGTTTAGCATGTACAAGGCCCTACATCCTGTCCTCCATACTGAGGGCCTGGAGTGAGGGAATGGAATCAACACCTTACTGTTAGGGAATGTTGTACTTTAGATGCATGAGAAAATAAGTTTGTGTGGTTCACTAGACAAGAAGGAAGATACAGATAGCACTGGTCATTTCTGTCATTGTAGCAAACGTATTTAAAAAAAAATAAAAACATAAAAAAAATAGATTTAATCCTGAGTGTGAAAATATTGTGGGCTTTTCCTTTAAAGAGATGTTTTTTTTTAGCTTCAGCCTGGCAGCTCTTCAAATAAAAAAGGAACAAAGACACTATAAACAACCCTCCCATCCCTAAGCAGGACTGCATAGATAAGCAGACGCTCATGGCCAAGACAGTGAAGGCAGCAGGAGTCACAGTGAGCATACAGAAGCTCAATGTGGGTCTCAGAAAGGGTAACAAGAAAGGCTAACATTGGCAGTAGTCTTCAGATGGTGATATTAGTAGTGGTAAGTCAAAACAGTAGGCACAAACTGACCTACTTTTAGCCCCCTGTTTCAAAGGGGGAAATTAGGGTCTTCTGGAACTAGGAGAATCTTATGTGAAGAAAGGACTATTGCCAGTGGGAAAGAGGGGACCCTTATCTTCACAAAATACAAGCAAATGCTGTGGCCATCACTGCTTCCCTTTCATCTTGAACACTGTGATCCCTTTTCTCTTTTCCTTTTCCTTCATCTTCAGCTGTCCTGTGTGATAGCATGTAGTATTCTTTTTGTTCTCTAATTCTTAGCTTATTTGGGGTATGATTATGTCTTGGCTGAACTATGGCTGTTTTTCTCATGGCAGTTTTTGGATGGAGTAATAGCTGAAAAACTGAAGAGAAAGAATTGGATCTAAACTCTGTCTCACATGTCAGATTACACATCCTTAGCTAATGGAAAGGAACATTGAAGTCACCAAACTCCCTCCTACTAGGATATAGGGGAAATTAAAAAGAACCCAGAGCTCTCTTAGACCTAATTAATTCTTCAACTCTGGAGGAAGCCATTTGCCTCTTAATGAAAAAACTTTGGTTGAAGGAGGTCAGAAGCAGTGGAGGAGGAATTCTCAAAGGAAAGATACTGTGATAGCCAATTGCTAGTTCTCTGTTCTTGTTTACCTGTGCTAGTCTTTATAGTTCATCCTTGGGTGAGAGCATGTGAATCTCAGACTGTGTAAGTCCAGCTAAATTTCTTTAGTTTCTGGAACTTTTTCCTCCTGAAAAACAGGATCTATAACATGATACTCATTTAAGTCATCCTTTGTTTTATTTTTTTACTTCAAGCTTATTCTAGAGTTAGTATCTCTCTGATAGTTACTTGAAGAAGATATATCTCCATGACATTCATGTTCTTGACTGTCCTTACCTCTTTTTCTTTAGTTTTTATTCCATTTAAAAATATGTAATCTGTCCCGTGGAAGGATTGCTTATAGTGACTGGTGGGTCATCTGCCTGTTCACTTTACCTCTTGGATTGAAGGGTTTAGCCTTATAACATGGCTAATATTTTGGGATAGGTAGAATGCCAGAGGAATCATCAATCTCTTCTGGACAATTTTCTCTCACTACAGAACATAGCTTAGAGTTTAGAACTCTGTTCTTGCTGGGCAGTTCCTCCTGCATTAGTAGCTGTTTTTACAACTAAGGGCACCTTTAGCATTATCCTTGGGCAGAGTTAGATCAAATCTAGGAAAACCTAGATTTGAGTAATATGTTATTCTAATATCACTATATATTAGAATGTAATGTAAGGATTCATTAACATTTAAATCAACTGAGCTCTAAGTAGCTAAGGGCTTCATATTCTAGGCAGAGAATTAGCTACAACTTGAGTCCTCTGGGCTTATTGCTCAGTTGTCAGAGCTGTAGGCAGAACAGTGTCTTTCTTCAGACCTAGTTCCCGACCTCAGAGTCTGCCTTATGGTGTATGTGGTTTCCCTGCAGCTGCCTAGGCATCCTCATCTATAGGCCCTTTCTCTAGTCTAGACCATGCTCTGGTATGTTCCTGGCAGTGTTCCCTGCTGCCTACCCAGCATGTAGTTGCCTACTGTCGGGCAGTAGCTCATTTCTTTGGCATCCTGGAGTGTAAATATTTGTCAAAGGATGGGGGCATTTTCCCATTCCTCAAAAAGCATTCTGAAAAATGTGCCTGTTTTCTTAGTCATATTTTAAACTGTGGCTCAGTTAGCCCATTCATTCCTTGCCGTTGAGAAACATTGGCCTGGCCTCAGCTGGCCACATAAAGTTAAGTAGCAATAACTTTTGGCATAGTAACTTTCAAACTTTAATACCAGGTAGTCCTGGACCTAAAGAAACCATAGACAGTGTAGTCACACTTAAGTCTCTTCTTAAGAGAAGACATTGTTTTATTAACAGAAAGAATTATACCTCTTCTATCACGCATTTTAATTTCTTTCACTCACACTTTATATTGAAGGAGTAAATGGAACCAGAAAAACTGAGGAAGCTAAGCATATAGATTCTGAAGGAGACCTTTATCCTTCATGTTTATAACTTACTTATAGATTTCATGTAATCTAGGTATTTATTCTACATCCATGTCTACCTCCATAAAGTGACATTGCAGAGCAATTGTAAGTTTGTAGGTGCTTTTCTAATACCATTAATGCTTTGCCCTATTACTTAGTTCTACTTGAGACCAAAACAGTTTGGTCTCTTCAGTATGGCTAATGAAGCTGAAAAGGCCATCATTAGCCATAGAACACAGTGTTCTATTTTGTACAAAATCAGGTAACCCTTAGGTAAGGTTTGGACTCTTGATCTTAGCTTGATTAACATTGAACTCTGAGCCCAGGATCTATTTAAATTGCTCACATAGTCTCAATGATTGAGGTAACTGCTAATGTGCCTTATTAAACTGCTTGCACTCCTTCCTTTCCTTTTCTCTAAGCCTTGCCTACTAACTTCACTTTCTCCTTATTTTCCAGTCGCTTGACCTAACCCTTAGTTTTCTACAAGTCTGGCCATCATCTGCCCATTTGTATCCTTAAAGCCATATCTACGTGGCACACACATATGTGTACCCACATATATACATACACCAGCTTTTTCTCTTTTTAGTGGTTTTAACCACTTTAACCCTCTCCTTTCTAGTCACAAGTTGATATAGGTAAATGAGGCTGTTGGGTGTTGAAGTATTAAATTGATTAAGAAACACTAATATCTGCTATTCAGCAGACAACTGCTTTTCCTTATATAACAGCTGTTTTAACAAGTATGATTTCTTCCCACAGATCATCAATTTCTACATGAATATGTTAATGGAGCGAAGTAAAGAGAAGGGATTGCCAAGTGTGCATGCATTTAATACCTTTTTCTTCACTAAGTTAAAAACAGCTGGTTATCAGGCAGTGAAGCGTTGGACAAAGAAAGTGGATGTATTTTCTGTTGACATTCTTCTCGTGCCCATTCACCTGGGAGTGCACTGGTGTCTAGCTGTGAGTACCTTCTTTTTTTTTTTTTTTCCTCCCCTTTTTTAAATGTGTTGTTTTATTTTCATATGTAAAAGTAACCTTTTTTATCAATAGAAATTGTTGGCAGATATAGTAAATTAGCCTTATAGTACTTTATTTTTGATAAAATTCAGAAGAAATATACATAATTATAGAACATAGAGAAGGTCATGAGTAGTATTTTTACATCTTCACTTGATTATTGAGAGAAAGTATTATTTAGTAGTAGATTAGCTAAAAATCAGATAGTCAATGGAATTCCTGTCTAGAGTAGGAGATACTTAAACTTTGGGGAAAGCTGAAGAATTTACTCTTTTTGGAAATATAAAAGGGAATTATAGGGTATCTAAACAGCCTTATGGCAGGGCATGGAGAAAAAAAAGTGACTTCTTAATGGTGCTGCCAACTCAGGTTCTGTGACAATTATTTTCTGCCTAAGAATGGCTTGCCTTGCATATGTGTTAATGTAATTTTTTTTTATGATTCTGAGAGCATGATGCATTAGTTCAATGTGTTAATAAAAGTTATTTCACAGTCTATTTTGAATTATACTTAATAAGTGTAAATCCAAAAGGAAATTCTCAGTGAAACACAATCCAGGGGCTGGTGTTGTGGCTCAGTGTTAGAGTACTTGCCTAGCACATGTGAGGCGCTGGGTTCAATCCTCAGCACCACATAAAAATAAATAAATAAAGGTATTGTGTCTATCTACAACTAAAAAAAAAAAAAAAAACCAGAATCCTTTCACCATTTTTCTGAAACTGTGAAAATGATCTTGACATACTCACCTTATATTTTCTCAAGTGCATGCTGTTTCTTTACTGTTGCCCATCCTGCAGAAAGAAAATAAACAACAGAAAAAGGTTTTAGGACAATAATGAGTATAGCAATGGATGGGTATACCCTCATAATTCTATGTAAATCTCTCCTTCTTTCCTGTGCAGATTAAGCATAATATAATATAAAGTATCAATCAAATTTCTCACTATTGCACAGAAAGCCTGGGGAAAAGCTCCAATGTTAAGGGAAGGAAAAGCTGAGAAATGAATTTTCTTCACTTTATAAACAGATTTTTTTCTTATCTCCAGGTTGTGGATTTTAGAAAGAAGAATATCACTTATTATGATTCTATGGGTGGAATAAACAATGAAGCCTGCAGAATCCTTTTGTAAGTAGGAAGTTGAGGATGGAAGAGTTTGATGTTGGGTATATGCTATGTTTTTTCACTAGTTAATCTCAGTTGTTTGATACCTTCAGAAGAGCAAGCAGTGAATTTTTCATATTAAGTAACCTTAACCCCTATAACCACCTTAACCACCTTTATTTAAATCCAAATAAAATATGATGATAATGCAATAATACCAAAAATATTCCTTAATGGGACAATTACTGTCCTAGTACACTAAAATAGAGTGGACATAAAGATAGAGACGCAGTCACTAATCATTTAATGCAGCCTTCTAATTTTTCTTCATCTAACCCACAGAGGTGATTTTCATTTGCCCAGGTCCTACTAGTTTGAGGCTCAGCTGAGAACCAGAATTCAAATCTCTTTATGCTCTGCTTCTTTGTCTTTCCAAAACACCTATTCTTTACTATTCTGATGGCTGGGAGAAGATAGGTTCCAAAATGTCAAGCAGTTTATACTTTAAAAGAGTGCTCTATGTGAGGTATGCATTCAATAAATTGTTGACATGGTTTGAATATTCACACAGAAGAACCTAACAATAGTAAATAAAAATCTCCTTACTGCTAGAGAAACATTTTATCCATTAGATTAAGTTTTTTAAGACCATATAAACCAACCATCAAAAATTGTTTCTCAGCAGAAATAGTAGGTCAAAGGAGTCTGGTTTATCAGAGGCAGAAGTCATGTCTCTGTTGGGTTGACAGAGTAAGTTAATGGAGGGAGTTGTGAGAAACTGGCTCAGCTCCAGAAGCTCAACAGTCCAAGGATTCCCTACCCCCCCATATCCTATTCTTCTCAGAAGATGAAACACTTGAGGATTATCAGCCCCATTCTTATGATTACAATGTCATCAGCATTCCTGACAGCTTATCTCATTGTCTTCTAATACCTTTAGGCAATACCTAAAGCAAGAAAGTATTGACAAGAAAAGGAAAGAGTTTGACACTAATGGCTGGCAGCTCTTCAGCAAGAAAAGCCAGGTACATTTCATCTTGATGCGGTACATGTCCTAAAAGTAGGCTCTCTGTGGAGGAAAGAATTTTAGGAAAGATTCCCACTTCAGTCTTAGTGTCTAGCATGACTTTAGTTTGGTTGTTTGGTTCTTCGGGGAAGATAGATTAACTTCTTTTGTGGGAAAACTTGTAATGTGTTTCTTGGTAGAAAAAAGTTTTCTAAATGCCTAGCTATTTTTCTAAGTTTGTTGCTCCTGTGGGAAACTTTTGCTGTTTATTTGGCACTTGGGGAAGGGGCCAGTTTTTATACCTTTAGATGCCATGGAAGTCTAAGATATTTTCCTGTGTGGTTAATATGAAAGACATAGACCTGATGAAATGCTGTTTTGTTTTAGCTTCTATTGTTCTTAATGGGGGCCCAGAGCCACCTGTTGAAATTCAGGAAAACCTGTAATATTTGTATCCTTTGGTTTTTATTTTTAATCAAAGTAGAAGAAAAGCTATTGCTTTGTTGTTGTTATTGGTCTTTCAGGAAATTCCACAGCAGATGAATGGTAGTGACTGTGGGATGTTTGCCTGCAAATATGCTGACTGTATTACCAAAGACAGACCAATCAACTTCACACAGGTGAGCTGGGCCTTCAGGAGGGAGCAATATGCACACCTTGTCTTTAAGCTGCACATAGGTGTTTTTCTCTCCACTTCTCTCCCCTGTGGACTGTGTCCTGACCTTTAGCATGCTTCAGGTTATGACTCATACCATTGGTAGTTACTGCCTGTGACACATCACATACACACAAAAAAGCCACCTCCTGAGTTATCATAGGACACATATGATAGCGAAGGAATCCTGGGTAAAAAAAGCAAAGCCTTATTCTCTACCCATCTCCCCCACTTACTTCAAATCCTATAGGAAACAGAAAACTGGGACATGAGCAAATTTTCTTCCATTTCCCTGAATTTTAGTCCGCTTCCAGGTTTTGGAGTAGGTTATATCTTGATCTCTTAGTGTAATTTGTTACCTCCCCTGTCCGCTTACTTAATGCAGCTGGTCAATCTTCTCTGTATGATTGGTCATTTCTGTTCATATGCCCTTCAGAGACCAAAGTAGATTGAGACTAGAGAATGTGGCTTATCAGTGTTTCCACTTGACTCTTCTGTTTGAATCAATGCCTTTTCCATCATAACCCTTTATTCAAACCAGACTGAAGCGGGGCATTGTGGCACATACCTGTAATCCTACCAGTTTGGGAGGCTGAGATAGGAGGATCAAAAATTTGAGGCCAGCTTCAGCAACTTAATGAGAATCTACCTCAAAAATGAAAAGGATTGGGGCTGGGGTTTGTGGCTCAGAGATACAGCGCTCGCCTAGTACATGCAGGGCACTGGGTTCGATCCTCAGCACCACATAAAAATAAAATAAAGGTATTGTTCCAAATACAACTAAAAAACAAAATATTTTAAAAATAAATAAATAAAAAGGATTGATCTGGGCATAAGTGATGCATACCTGTAATCCCAGTGGCTCAGGAGGCTGAGGCAGGAGGATTTTGAGTTCAAAGTGAGGTGCTGAGCAACTCAGTGAAACCCTGTCTCTAAATTAAAAATACAAAATAGGGCTGGGGATGTGGCTAAGTGGTGGAGTGCTCCTGAGTTCAGTCTCTGGTACCTCCCCCACCCCTCCCCCGCCAAAAAAAGGATTGAGGATTTATCTGTTATGTGAGTTCCCTTGGGTTCAGTGCCCAGTACCAAATATTAAAAATAAACCAGACTGAGCTAACTCTTGAAGGTCCCCTCAACTTTTCCCCATAAAGGTTGAGTTTTTTACTTTCAGTCCTCAGTCTGATATTACAAGTTCAACATAGAATGCTTTCTAGCCCCATTCTCAAAATTCTTGGGGACTTTTGGGGATTCCTAATGATGCCCCGTATAACTTCTGAGGTTACAGAATGGGAAATAGCAATAGAAATAGCAGTCCAAAAAAAAAAAAAAGAACGAACAGATTGAAAGACTAGATACACCATGGAAACTATGTTAGTTGAGAACCTTGAGAAGAAAAGGAGTTTAAGGAAAAGAATGTTGGGTCTAGATAATTTAAAATTAAGGTGTCTCTATGTTTCTACAGCAACACATGCCATACTTCCGGAAGCGAATGGTCTGGGAGATCCTCCACCGAAAGCTATTGTGAAGATTTGTCTCAGTGAACAAACACCTAACTCTGGGGGACCAGCCCTTTGTTGTCTACAGCCAGAGACCTTGGAAACAGCTGCTCCCAGCCCTCTGTTCTTGTAACGCCCTTGATCCTGGACCAGGCCCTGGCAAGATGCATTCACAAGCACATCTGCCTTTCCTTTTGTATCTCAGATACTATTTTTGCAAAGAAACTTTGGTGCTGTGAAAGGGGTGAGGGGCATCCCTAAGCTGAAGAGAGAGACTGCTTTTCAGTTCTTCAGTTCTGCCATCTTGTTTTCAAAGGGCTCTAGCCTCATTCAGTCCCTGATTAGGTAGGGGACTGAGAAAAGCTTGGGAAGAATCTTGGTTTCATGTAAACTCTTGTTGCTGGGCCTTCCTAAGAAGTAGGATAGGGCATGGACAAAAGGTAGGGATGAAAACCACCAGCATACACATGCACATATACATACACACTTGATTTTCAAGATGTGTGGTCAGGAATATGACTGTAAACTGGACTTTGGGGTACATGCATAAGTCCCTTCCTCCAGGACCCTTCCTATTTTTTATGTCCTGTGCAAAATGTAACTGCTTCTCTACAAGGCTCTTTTATCATCAGTAGCTTTGTCCCATCCTGAGGCACAGCACACAAGCCCTAGGCAGGCCCCAAAGTCCTGAGCAGTCCTTAAGAGCAGGGGTTTACATGTGCTAATAACACATGCTGTGGGGAAGATCAACCCAGGGAGGGGTCAGTGGAGCCACAAAGCCCCACTTCTACAGTTGCCTACTTCTGACCAAGAAGAAGGACCTCAGTCTTTAGTATAAAACTCCAGTGTTGGATGAGTGCAGGTCTAGTTGGTCTGTGGCTAGTTAGTTTAAATATGTTTCTAACCACAGAGGATTTAATATATATATATATACATATATATATTTCACAGGGAGATTTTTTTTAAAAAAGAAAAAGACTGAATGTGTTCACCATTTAGCCTGTAGATTTATTTTCATTTTTCCAAATTCCAGCACACAGAGATCCCAGCCTCCTCTGTGTAGGGGGCTTGTAGACTTCCTAACAGAATATTTTGAGGCCTGGATGAACTTTGGTTAGGGGTAGAGGTTATCGATGAAAGTGAGGTTTTTCAGCTGAAAAACGGGTGGAATTTGGGCTGATCAACTTGGGATTTAAAAACTGCAATTCCTTTTGTTCTTTCTAGCATCTCTCCCACCCTCTGAGAGCTCCTATGGCTTAGATAGTGAAATGATCCAATGCCAGTGTCATTTTGTACTTAAGTTCCAAAATAGGAACATTTTATACTTTTTTCTGTATTGTAATAGGTAGTTTTGTATAAAATCTTTTCTCCTCTTCCCTTGTACCCCATCCTTTCCAGCATTGTGCTTTCTCCGTGGGCTTATTTGAAAATTTTACTCTGTTTTATACCAGGCTTGTTTAGTACATTTTCTATGTTTTACCACAAGTTACAATTTGAAAAGAAAACTATTTTTTTTAAATATTCCATTGTTAATTGAATGTTACTGTTTCCACTCCAGCAACCAGTTGTCCTAACTTTTTCATAACTGCCTGCCTTTTGGGGGAAGACCACCTTTTGTGTGTTTGTTCTCTTTTCTATCTCTTGCTCTCCCTCTCTCTCTCTCCCTCCCTCTCTCTTTCTCTGTCTCTCTCTGTTTTCTATAGGAAATAAATAGCTTTCTATATATGAGTTGCTGGGACCTTTCACATTCTCTTTTAGAAAGCTATGGCACGCAGACTCAATGTAGGACTCCTGGAATATTGTCTGATTCTTGGTACTTACTGTATTTAAGTGACAACTTGAAAGGTGGCAATATGTGTATATTTGAACTATAAATCAAAAGACTTAAGTTTTTCAGGCTCTCTCACCATTGTCCGGGAGCTTATACAAGATAGTTCTCTGTATTTATTGTTTGTTTATTTAGATAACATCTGTCTTGTCTTTCTCAGAGACTTTTTGTACAGACCAAAGCAACAAATATTTATTGCCATGTATAGCAGAAAATGAAACATGCAACAAAAGCACTTTGCAAAATATATAAGGAATTACAGAGCCTGTCTGAACTTGCCCCCACTTTCTCCAGTGCAGTTTTGTACAAGGTAGAAGTTAGTGATTCTGAGGCCACCCTACCTCCCAGAACTGGTAGGAGTGGGCCAAGGTATGGCTCAGGGTGGCTCAGTAGGAGCCATATACAGACTTCTAGAATGGACCATTCATCCAAGAGAGCTAACCTGCAAGAGCAGGACTAGTGTATGGAAACCTTCTTATAGGGCTGAGCTTTGATAACCAGAACTAAAAAAATATGTTTCTACATTCATGGCTTAGGGCCTGTTACCAAGATCTTGTTTTACTTACTTTAAACATACTGTTTTTATTTTCTCCTGTCTTTCCCTTTCCCCTATGCTGAGTGCTCACAGTCACCTACTCCCCTTTAATAAGGGATGTTTGAAGGATAAACATGAGATGCCATATATAGATCCTTCACAGATGCCACATTTCCAACAATCATTCCTGAACCTTAGACAAAGAAAATTAGACTGTTCTTGCCCATCTGAGAACACATGGTATGAGGCAGGAAGGCTAGTTTTTATCCTGTTTGGGACACTGTTATTCCAAGACGTCCTGTGTAGATTGACTGTAGGAGTACTTTTTCTTCATCTAGCCTGGAGACTGGTGTCAGTTTACTCCTCTGTGTTTGAGGTACTTCACACTTCTATGTGGCATCAGCTTCTTAAGCCACTGTAAAATCATACTAGTATCTTCTATCTACTACCTCCAGTACTGTTAGCCCTAAGTTTTGGTGGTCCTGGAATAGAAACAGAAAACCTGAAAAAGTACTTACCAACCCCATCCCACAGCCTGCCCATTATTTTACATGGTCCATGAAAGGCTGTGTTAGGTACAGAGAGGGAGGACTCATTAAAGAGCATCAGTGTTTGTTATATCTTAACTTCTGGTCCAATGCCATCCCTCTAGCTCTGAAAATGCCAGAGTAAGAGAAATGACGGACCCTTGGGGTTTATCTTTTCCCTTGTTCCACGTGGATGGGCTAAAGTAAGATGGAGTGAGATGTGTTCTCTCTGGGAGATCATATATTGAAATGAGTCAGAAAAGTGTTAGGCTCTCGGGCCCTGTTAAAGAAGCTACATGCTAAGCTCCTGGGAAAGATGCCATATCTCCCTGCCCAGGAGCAATGTAGTCACAGCTTCAAATTCATCCCAAAATTTGGAATGGGATAACTAAGCTCAGCTCAATATCCTTCCTTAGAGTCTAGGTTCTTATTACACCTATGCTGAACTCTAACAACTGTTGTGAAGGACATATAACTACCATTCTTTGGAAATAGAGAGGGAAATGTCACTCATTAAAAGGAGGGAGAAGTGATGCACACACACATCCCTGTGAGAAAGTTAAGAGAAACCAGGGAACTTTGAGCTTAAAGGTGAACCTTGAGGAAATATTAGTGCAGGCTTCCTCTCTGGTCTGCCGGGAAGATGATGGGAATAATTGCAGTTGTGTGGGTGGTTGGACCAGATGTCCAGGGCCTTGTTAAACTCCAGGATTTTGAAATGGAATTAAGGGATGTAATGGTCACCAGGAATAGAAACCTGTCCAAGTAGAGGTTTATGTCAAAATTTAAGGCCAGATGTACAACTGGCTTGGTTTTAGAATTAAGATATACATCAGAGTAGCCTTCCTAGTCATGTTATCTTAAAATCTCTTATCTGGAGGTCTGTCAGGGAATAATATGATTCCCTGTGGTGTTTGTGCTAGCATCCACCTTTTACATCAGGAATGGACTAGACGTGAAGCTACTCAGAACAGGTGAATGATTTGTTGCTTCTTTCAAACTAGGAGTACAAGCCGCTGCTTTCTGTCCTGCCAGTGCTGAGGTGGGGGTCAAATCAATTGAACACTGATTTGAATGACAAGATTGTGGAAGTAGAAGGAAGAAGGACTACTCATGGCAGGCTGCAACCTCCTTTGTTTTCCCAAACATTTCTTCTCTGATCTTAAACCCCCAGTGCCCTATTCTGCCTTTGACAGAAACAATTTCCATGCCTTATGGAACATTCCAGCTCCATCCCCAGGGGCTTATCAGTACTTATTCTAACCACACATCTTCTGTTTAATCATTTGGTGGGGTTTTTTCTCCATTCTTTTTATTGCCAAAGAGATTTTACAGTCAGTCCTTTCTAGAATGAGACTCCGGGGCTGTTTGGTCCTATAATGGCACTTACCTGGAACTTACAGGGCATCCGGTAGGCTGGGTGTTTTCCTAAGCATGTATTTAAGCACTGAGCTTGGGGATCCGTGAAATATGGAATTAAGAGATATTTGACCAAGGAAATAAAAACATCTATACTCAGGGTCTCACAGTCTGTACAGCATAGTTTGGCTTATTTGGGAGGACAATAATTGGACATCCAAGTGATGCACCTTATGGAAAGGTCAGTCTCAAGACAGTGCAACATGAATCTGGGAGTGGATGGTGGGGCAGAGGTGGAGATAAGTCAGGGATGATGTTGCCTTTATCTGCCCATCTATGTGTGACTCTCCCTAGTTTTTTAAAAGCTGTTTTATTTAAAAATAAATTCTGTGGATTTTGCCTCCTTGCTTTTGACTGGAAACTCCCTGGTAAGGACTTGATGTTTGTCTCTCTAAGACTCTGTCTCTGTGACTGTTTTTTCTGTCTCTGTCAATGTCTGTCTCCTGATCTGAGCTGGACTAGTGATTGGATCCTCAGTGTGGTCTGGATTTCTGAGTCCACCCCTTAACCAGGAGTCTGAATACTGTTCATTCATTCATTTCATTCCACATACCTGGAAGTGAAGCCTGGAACGCAAATAACATGCAAATCTGTGACTTTCTGGCACTTTTAAAAACCAAACCTGTCTGGAGCCTGCCAGAGAACCCTCCTGAGGCCAGCCATGCCAATCAGGACTTCCAGCCCCTGGCTGACTGCGTCCCTTGTCTCCTTTCTCCTCTCCTTCACCCCATTCCCCTCAACATATCACCAAAGTGCTTCCCACTGCCCTACCTGTAAAATTCACGCTCACAAGAGTGAAACAAATACCAACTTCTCAAATAACTACTGTGATAGAGAAACGTTCTATCTATGTTGGGCTAGGGGAGTTTTTCTCCCTGGGATGTTTTTGATTTCTAACTTATTTTTAGGCATGATGAAGATTTTTTTAGCCTTCTGACAGTGGTTGGAGTGAGGAGGGAAACCTTCAGGCCACCCCTTTGTTCTAATTCCTGAATGTAGTTGAAGGTAGCTGAAGATCACCTGGGTCTGTTCTGTCACATAACAGAGAAAAGACTCTCTCAAAGCAGAGACAAGAACCCAAGTGTGTCTTCTAGCTCTCCTCCACTACTCTGTGAGAGCCTGCTCCAATCTTGAATCTGCAGAAATGTCCAAAGGAAAGGTGGGTACCTGTTTCTTAAGAAATACTCTCCTGACACTCTTCCTAAACACCAGGAAAAATGTTTTACTTCCTTGCCTACAGCTGCCCATTTCCCATCAGCCCATCACCAGCCAATGATCTATATCAATGATGGCCTGTCAGGCCCTTAACAGCCCACCACATCTCCAGCAGTCACCCACTTCTCCTGACTGCTTCTCTGTCCTGTCCTCTGCTGTTGGTCTAACAAGCCCAGCTGCTTTCGTCTAACTAGGGTCTGTCTACTTACTGATTCCTTGGGGTTCTGGTGGAATATCAACCCACACTCCAATTTTCACACTTATCTAGCTCCCTTACATACATTTTTTTCTCCATAATACTTATTAGTATCTGAGTGCATTATTTACTGTTTTGTTTCATCTGTCTCTTGTTAAAATGTCTGTTCATCCAAATACCTAGAACAGTGAAGGAGAGAATAATTAAAGGAGTGAATTGAATTACCATTATTTTTTTAGCATCTCTGAGCTGTGCTTCACTTTTTTGAAGTGAATAGCTTTCATCCTATTCCAAATTCTCACTTACTCATGCCTGGTTTATAGTGCTTCCTATCTCAGGGTCTCTGGCTTCAAATTCATGTTCCACTTTGCAGTTAGAGCCATCTTTCCCCAAGAGTATTCATAAAAACACTGAACATTTATTGAGGCCCTGTCCCCAGTCTTACAGTCTTATATGCTAAACACATCATATGCGTTATTTCTTTGATCCTCACTAGTCTGCGATGTAGGTATCGGTATTCCAGTTTCACAGATAAGAAAATAATAATAGTAAAGAGATTGGACAACCTGTCCCAAATCTCACGGATCAGTAGTTATAGAACAGGGTCTCCAAGTCAAGAGCACATGACTCCAAAGCCCTTAAAAAGTACTAAGATCTGTTGCTTCCACATGACCACTATTTCATTCCCACAGAAAATGCCTGACAGATTTCATGGGGCTCTCCTAGAGTGAAACAAAATAAGAGACTCTTCCATGAAGCCCACTTGGCCATCTTCTCTCATCAGTAGAATTGGGGTTCTTATTAATCTTTTCACCTTAGTTTGGAGGGCTAAACTAAGGAATAGTAGGGTCACTGCCTTTGGATTGATCTCTTGACTTCCCTAGACAGGAGGTAAAAGGAATTCTCTTTACCTCTCCCATGGCAACTTTCCCCAGCTGTCCTCTATCTTTCATCTCCCCCTTTCACCCTCAGCTCTTAGCAAAACTCTTTTCTTTCAAAGTCTCAGTCCTAACCTAGAAAGAAGAAGCCTGAGGATTGAGGGTGGTTAGGTAGGGAAACATCAAGCAGACCCTGCCCATCCTCACAAGGGGACTCAAAATCAGGTTTGCAGGTGAGGTGTGTGTGTGGATAGGAGCCTCCACCACACTTGAGGACATTTCTAGTGGTCCATTCTCTCTTTTCACCTCTGTGTTTCACACTCAGTCTCCTTGGTGTGGTGTGGAGTTTCCTCTGCCATTCCTACTGGTTCAAGAATCTCAGGAATGCAAAGCCCAGTGCCCTCCCTCTGTGCTCCACCTCCTGCCCCCCTACAATGAACCCCTCTGCCCTGTAGAGGCGGAACTTAGCTCAGGCAAGGGGCTGAGGGGGAAAGAAAGACTGGGCACGCTCAGCCTTTCCTCCCACCCTCTTGCTTATTCCTTGCCTGAAATCAGCCTGCCACTTTCATCTTCCTCTCAAACAGATGGCCTTTCCCACCCTCACCCTCACTGGAGGCCTCTCTTGATGGTAATTACTCCTAATTGTTTTCCCTTGGCTCAGAAGCCTGTCCTAGCCTGCATTGGGCCAACAGCTCTCCTGTGTCTGCTTAGAAAATGGGCTTAACTCAGAGTGAAAAAAGACGCAAGTCTCTTTGGGCCTCAAACCCCTGGCTTTCTAGATCTAATGCAGAGGGAAGGCTCCCATTTGGACTCTCCCAAAGGATAATTGCTGCAGAGAATAGTGATCAAAGTTGAGGAGCAAGTCCCCCTGAGGACCTCTGAGATCTCAGCCACAGAGATCTCTGGGGTCTGGCTGGGGAAGGGACAGGACTTCTCAATGGAGCCTTCAAGCCCCATTACTCTGACCTTGGTGGTGAAGAGCTGCCTCTCTCTCATCAGCCTACCAGAGGACTACCCATCACCCCTGCCCAGCCCCAGTCCCACATGCCACTCTACTCCCCAGCTGATGAGGCAAGGAGGCCTTTGCTCAGAGCTTGAGACCATCACAACCTCCCCCACTTCTCTCTCATGCATACACACTCATGTACACACACAGGGTACCTTTGTGTTGCTGTCTCCTGGTACCTGCAGCTTCTGGATCAATGCCAGGGTGACTAGTGGTAGGCTGGGGATGGAGAGTGAGGTTGTAGGACCGTGGATAGTGCAGAATGAGGAGAGCCTGCAGGGTGAGACACCTTTCTCCTTCCAAGGGCTGCTGATCCTGATTCATTCAACCCCAAGGAAAGGGCCCTCAAGAGTCTTATCTACCCCTTGGAAAAGGATTTGGGGATGTCAGCCAGAGATAAGAGGACATAAAAAATGTTTCGTTCATTCATTCATTCCATCAATAAATATTTACTGAATGCCTACTGTATGCCAGGCCCCTGTGTTAGATACAAGAAACTACTTCCATGTCCTGGTCCAAGCATGTAACAACCTTTCTATAGCCACAGCCTAAAGTATCATGCCCAATTCCATGGCCCCTGGCAGCCTGAGTTGCATCTTAGCTCATCTCCTACTCATTTGACCCCAACTCATTGCTGCTTCAGTCAGCTGCAGAGCAATTTTTGTGGAGGCACAGCAAGAGGGGACCTGGGAAGTAGACATGAGGATATAGAAAATGCCAGTTTCACCCACCCCAGACCCCCAGGGGAGTCTCAAAGACAAGCCCTAAAGGATCTGGCCTAGAAATTTCTCTTAGATTCAGGGACAGCATGGTTGCAGCTTCCTGACCTAAGGTTTTCCCATGTTTCGGTCAAGCTATCATTAAATTTTTATCAGAAAGTCCACATGGGTGTAAGAGTCTTCTCTTATTTACCTACCCACGCCTCTACCCTTCTACCCATCCATCTACCAATTTCATTCATTTACTCACTATTTCCTTTCTTTTTTTCTTTGGTTTTTATTTTATTTTTTTCTTCAACCTGGGATTGAACCCAGGTGTGCTTAACTACTGAGCCATATTTTAAATTTTGAGACAGGGTTTTGCTAAGTTGCTTAGGGCCTCACTAAATTGCTGAGGCTAGTTTTAAACTTATGAGCCTACTGCCTCAGCCTCGAGGGCCACTAGTATTACAGGCATGTGCCATCATGCCCGGCCTACACGCTTTTTAGAATCTACTCTGTGCCAAGCACTGCGGAGTGGATAAGATATGGTTTCTGTTGCCTGTGGTCTCCCAGGGTACCTCACTGAGCCTCAGATATTTCCTCAGAACCCAGATCTCCCTTCTCCCTCATGCGGGGACCATACTCCAACCCAGGAGGCCTCCAGGTGGGTAACTAGGAGTCCTGAACCATAGGCCACTGGTAATTGGGGCCAGCCAGGAGAATGGAGGCCAGGATGGTGGTTGGAGGAAGGAGGAAGGTGTCCAGCCAGGCCACTGAACCCATCACTGTGGTTTGGCTCTGCTGGTGAAAAAATACCAAGCTTGGACAACTGTCTCCCTGTATCCTGAGCTCTGGGTTGCTCCCAGACAGGAGTTACTCCATTAAACAAACCACAGCCAAGGGCAGCAGAGGCCCAGACCAAGAAAGGATTAGAAGGAGGAGTGGGAACATAGGGCCCAGGACAGGATTTGAGCCAGACTGTCCATCACAGGCACAATGGTGCAAGTGTAGCCTGTTGGCTGGCTGGAGGTGTGAACGTGCACAGCAGAGGCAGCAGGTGAGGCAGGGGAGAGTTGCATCCAGACTCAATGGCACAGAGAAGGCAGATAAATATGGTGTGAACCTGACAAGGACACAAGCAAATAGGAGCTGCTTGCTGGACTGTCTTAGAATATTAGCTGAAGATTCTTCCCCCAAAGTGCCAGCTGGAGGTTGGCAATAGGGTTGAGAAGAGAAGGTAATGATGGGACACCAGACAGGTGGTGTGTATGTGTATGCACTGGGTGCTCATGCTATTCTATACACGGGTCAGGGTCTGTGTGATGTCTTTCTTTTGCATCTATTACTTCA